GCATCAGTGGTGTTTGACTACTTTGATTTATCTCACCTTTCGGTGATGGTTTTATAAAAGACTACTGATGTCATTTATTTGAATTAATGCTAATGCATATCTATACATGATACATAACAGGATAAACACATATCCTTTTATGTATCATATATAAATATATAAAGACAGAGGTGTGTGTGTGTATATATATAGAGAGAGAGAAATCAATATAGAGAATGTACAGGAATACCTCATTTTTTTGCTCTTCACTTCGTTTCACTTTGAAGACATTGCATTTATACTGATTGAAGCTTTTTGGTAACTCAGTGTTGAACAAGTCTCTTAATACCATTTTCCCAACAGCATGTGCTTACTTCGTATCCCTGTGTCACATTTTGGTACTTCTCATAATATTTCAATATCCTGATCTGTGATCAGGAATTTTTATAATCATTACTACTATAATTGTTCTGTCACACTGTGAACCATGCCCATATAAGACAGTAAACGTCATTGATTAATGTTGTGTGGGTTCCGACTGTTTCACCAACCAGCTGTTCCCTATTCTCTGTATTTTTCCTTGGGACTCCATTTCCTGAGGAATAAGAATATTGAAATTAGGCCATTTAATAAGCCTACAATGTCCTCTCAAATGAAAAGAAGAGTCACACATCTCTGAATTTAAACCAAAAGCTAGAGATAATTATGAGGAAGCCATGTCAAAAGCCGAGATAGGCCAAAAGGGAGGCCTCTTGTGCCAACTGGCCAATTTGTGAATACAGAAGACAAATTCTGGCTTGGTGCCTGTAGCTTAGGCAGCTAATGTGCCAGCCATGTATACCAGAGCTGGCAGGTTCAAATCTAGTACAGGCCCGCCAAACAATGACAACTACAACCAAAAAATAGCCAGGTGTTGTGGCAGGCTTCTGTAATCCCAGCTACCTGAGAGGCTGAAGCAAGAGTTGGAGGTTGCTGTGAGCTGTGATGCCATGGCACTCTACCCAGGGTGACAGCTTGAGACTTTGTCTCAAAAAAAAAAACAAATTCTTTAAGGAAATTAAAAGCTCTACTCCAGTGAACACGTGAACGTTAAGAAAGCACCTTATTGCTGATGTGAAAACAGTTTTATGGTCTGGATAGAAGGTCAAATGAGCTACGACTTTTCCTTAAGCCAAATCTTAATCCAGGACAAAACTCTTAACTCTCTCTAAGTCTATGAAGGCTGAAAGAGTTGAGGAAACTTCAGAAGAAAAGCTTGGAGCTAGCAGAGATTGGTTCATGTGGTTTAAAGGGAGAAGCTCTCTCCATAATGTAAAAATACAAAGTGAAACAGCAAGTGCTGATGTAGAAGTGGCAGGAAGTTATTCAGAAAATATAGCAAAGATAATTGATGACAGTGGCTACACTAAACAACAGATTTGCAGTGTAAATGAAATGGCCTTCTATTGGAAGAGGAGGCCATCTAGGACTTCCCTTGCCAGAAAAGTCATTATCTGGCTTCTAAACTTCAAAAGAATAATAGGCTGACTCTTTTTGTTAGGGCCTAATGTAGCCGGTGACTTTAAGTTGAAGCCAGAGCTTATTGACCATTCTGAAAATCTTAGTACCCTTAAGAATTATGATAAATCTATTCTACCTGTGCTCTCTAAATGGAAAAACAAAGCCTGTGTGATAGCACATGATTTATAAAATGGCTTATTGAACATTTTAAACCCGCTGTTGAAACTTACTGCTCAAGCAAAAACAAAGATTTCTTTCAAAATAGCACTGTTCATTGACAATGCATCTGGTCACTCAAGAACTCTGAGGAGATGTACAAGAAGATGAATATTGTTTTCATGCCTGCCAATGCAAAATTCATTATGTAGCTTATGGATCAAAAAATAATTTTGACTTATAACATGTATTTTGTAAGGCTATAGCTGCAATAGGCAGTGATTCCTCTGATTGATTCACATGAAATAAATTTTTAATTTACTTTGAAGCTTTTCAGATTTATTTTATTTGAAAATTAAAAGTTTGCTGCACTATTCACCATTGTAGATGCCATTAAGAACATTGGTGATTCATGGGAAGAGGTCAAAATATCGACATTCAGAGGAGATTAGAAGAAATTGATTGCAGTCTTCATGGATGACTCCAAAGGATTCCAGATTTTAGTTGAGGAAGTCACTGCAGATGTTGTGGAAATAGCAAGATAACTTTTAGAAGTGGAGCCTAAAGATGTGACTTAATTGCTCATTTTCATGATAAAACCTGAGCACCTGAAGAATTGCTTCTTATGGATAAGCAAAGAAAGTGTTTTCTTGAGATAAAATCTACTCTTGATGATGATGCTGTGGACAGTTTTGAAATGACAACAAAAACACAGGATATTCCATAAACTTTGCTGATAACATCGCAGCAGGGCCTGAGAGGACAGACTCCAATTTTGATTGAGGTTGTACTGTGTGTAAAATGCTACCAAACAGCATCACATGCTACAAAGTAATCTTTTGTGAAAGGAAGAGTCAATTGATACCACATACTTCATTGTTGTCTTATTTTAAGAGGTCACCACAGCCCCTCAATCTTAGCAAACACTATCCTCAACAGCCAACAACCAATAACATCAAGGCCATGCCCTCTACCAGCAAGAAGTTGACTCACTGCAGGGTCAGATGCTCCTTAGCATTTTTTAGCAATAAAGTACTTTAAAGTATATCTGTTTTTTCCTTAGACATAATCTTGTATTCTTAATAATCTGCTGTGTTGTATAAATATAACTTTTGTATGCACATGTAAACAAAAAAAATTATGTGACTTTCTTAATGTGAAATTTACTTTATCACAGTGGTCTGGAATTGAACCTGCTATATCTTTGAGATATGCCTATATATGTATCCTTTATATATTCTCTGTCTTTTTACATTATACCCACATAGAAACACACACACGTGCACACACACATACACAGGAGAGAGTAAGAAGAGAGAAATATGTAAATTGAGTGTTGAGAGTATCCATGAGAAAAGAGTTTTCTGGTCAATGATTCTATAATTCTTTCTAAAAAGATAGACCTTCCAGGGGGCTCAATTATGTTTTTATATTCTTTAGATTCAGGGAATTTTTGTTGTTTAGATAAATTAGTCATGTTACTGTTTCATGTAGCAAACATCTAATGATATATTTTTGCATTTGTTTGTGGTTATAGTGTGTTAGAACTACTTGCCAGACTTGAGGATGATGAAGATGTTGACATACCAAATGAGTAAGTCAGTTTAAAGTCTGGAAGTAGGGAGCCTTTGATGGATCTCTTTGGGACAACAGGGCTTGTGCTAAGGCAAAATGAAAAGGAAAACTATGGAAAGATATCAAAATTTATGGCAGGGTGAGCATGCAATATTTACTCCAATTGAATTTGCAGGAAAATACTGTTGAAAACAATTTTCCATCTTTTCAGAAGAAAAAGGTTCATAAAAGACCATAATTTTATTAAAATTTTCTTTCTTAACAGAGGACTGAAGAATGCTATTTACTCTTAAATCCTGGTTCCTTCTTAATTTTAGAAAATTTAGTGTTGGATATCCTCTGATTCCTAGTTTTGTAGAATTTTCTATGAGCACATCAGATTCATTGGAAAGGTGAAAATATTTAGCTAACTAAAGTCCTCTTCATGCTTATTGGGAATTTATTAATGTTGATTTGTTTCTGAGTATTCTCCTCCGGAGTACTTACTATTGCACTGATCTGAAGGCACTTTATCATGGACTCACTGTAATGCAATAATACATTCTTAAAATTGCTTACATCTGAATTGCAGAAATATTCAGGAGATTTTTCTTCTGTCCCTCTCTTATCCAGTTACATAACCATTCACCAGCTTTGTGAATGTTGGAAAGAGACAGTACTACCAAAGAGGAAATTACCTGATCACTGTTGCAATTTGTTGGTCTCTAAACAAAGATTACATTGGAAACAAAGGGGGCAACTGGTGAATACAAACAGTTCTTCAAACGACCCTGAATTTCCATTTTCTAGAACTTATTTCATCATGGACCATCAATGAACGATTCATTCTGCTACTTACTTAAATTGTATGTCTGAATATTAGCTGTACAGTTGTTAATGGAGCTGCCCAGAGCTAGGACAAAATTTAGATACAGAAAGGGAAGCATTTCTTTCCTCTTTCCCTACTCTAAAAAATAAAGTGGGTTCTGTTGTGTTTTATTTTCTATTTAAATTACAAAATCAAACCGCTTTGCAAGGATCTAGGAGGCATTTGCAGTAGTTCCTGTGAGAAATGTTGGTCTTTCAGACCAGGGAGATGATCCTGGATTTGGAGTTAAAGCTGGAACTGATCTTGGCTCTGGCATTTGATATTCACTTGACACTCAGCAAATCAAGTTTATATATATCAGTATTATTATTATTATTATTTTAGAGACAGAGTCTCACTTTATCGCCCTCGATAGAGTGATATGGTGTCACAGCTCACAGCAACCTCCAGCTCTTGGGCTTAGATGATTCTCTTGCCTCAGCCTCCTGAGTAGCTGGGACTACAGGTGCCCACCACAATACCTGGCTATTTTTGTTGTTGTTGCAGTTTGGCCGAGGCCAGATTTGAACCCACCATCCTAGATATATGGGACTAGTGCCCTACTCACTGAGCTTTAGGCGCTGCCCATCAAGTTTAAACTTCTTTAAACTTTAGATGATTCAAATGTAAACTGGCAATAATTCTATAATGTCTATTTAGTGGATGTTATAACAAATTAATAATACAAGTAAAATAACATATGTAAGTAAAGTGCTTTGAAAATCATCTGCAGTTTAGTGTTTGATGCACATATATTTTAGATAGGAAAGTAAAAAGAACCTCATGAAATGGAAAGGTGAAAATTTTACTTATCAGTAAAAAAACTTCAAATACACTTCTGAATTTTGTTTTAAACAGGCCTTTGTGTCCTGGTTAAATTCATAATGTGGGTTAGAGGAAATCTGTGATTAATTTTATTTTTACTTCCTTTTGCAGTGGGAAGATTAAGAAAATGGTGCATTTAATTGTGTCATCCCTTGCATTCGGGTATGAGAGACTATAGAAAAGACATATATTAAATACATGTGACATTTAATTTCAATATTTTTAGTGAGAAAGGATTTGAAAAAAAATAAAGCAAAAAGCGTTTCCACTGTCAATGTTGCCAAATGGCCATGTGCCCCATTTAAGGTAATCTCATTTATTTTGAAATTTTAATTTAAGCAGAACATTAAGATTTGCAAAGAAATGGCATTAAAAACAATGAGATATGATTTTAAAATACTGTAAGTGTTTTATTAAATACCTTATATATCTGGAATCACTCCTGGATTTTAGAAATATTTTACTTAAGGTTCTTCTCTATATGAGAATAAGATTTCATACTATGATACAGATTTACACAGTATAATTGCTTTATTTTGAATTAATATCTTAATTTCAGTTAGAATTATGAAAAATTACTTTGAAGATCAATTAATTCATCTTTATAGATTATGTAAATAGTTTAAGCATTTTATGAGGAATGTGTTTGGATTATGTGAGAGAGAGGCTCAAGAAGAACGTTAGAGCTCAATAATGTAAGTATTTAAGGCAGTGATTCCTTCTCATGTGCCCATGAGTATGCTAGAAGCACCCATGAATTTGATCACAGACTTGTTGAAAATCTCACTGATTAAAAGATTTTACTGTTAAAGTGGTCTTTTAAGGGCTTATGTTAGTCATTCTTTAATTTGTTTCTTATTACTAAATTCTTAACAATTATCCAGGTTTTTAAAAAGTTTTTAAAACTTTAATCTGTATCCAGGTTTTTACAGATTAATGAGGTTTTCTTTATTATAAGACATTGGTGTAAACACCTTCTGAAATTCTCAGATTTTAAGATGGGTTTACAAATAGGCATATGTAATTTTTTTTGGTTGGGGATTCATTGAGGATTCAAGGAACTAGGTTACATTGATTGCATTTGTTAGATAAAGTCCCTCTTATAATTGTGTCCTATCCCCAAGAGGCATGTCACACCTGTGGCCCCCCACTCTCCTTCCTTTTTCCCTCTCCCTGCATTTCTCACTGTGTACTAGGTCATCAATTGTCCTCATATCAGAATTGAGTACATAGGATTCTTGCTTCCCCATTGTTGTGATGCTTTACTAAGAATAATGTGCTCTACTTCCGTCTGGTTTAATACAAGAGATGTAAAGTCTCCATCTTTTTTAATGACTGAATGGTATTCCATGGTATACATATACCACAGCTTGTTAATCTATTCCTGGGTTGGTGGGCATTTAGGCCATTTCTACGTTTTGGTGATTGTAAATTGAGCTGCAATAAATAGTCTAGTGCAAATGTACTTATGATAAAAGGATTTTTTTTCTTCTAGGTAGATGCCCAGTAATGGGATTGCAGGATCAAATGGGAGGTCTAGTTTGAGTTCTTTGAGGATTCTCCATACTTCCTTCCAAAAAGATTGTATTAACTTACAGTCCCACCAGCAATGTAGAAGTGTTCCCTTCTCTCCCCACCCATGCCAACATCTGCAGTTTTGAGATTTTGTGATGTGGGCCATTCTTACTGGGGTTAGGTTGGTACCTCAAGGTGGTTTTGATTTGCATTTCTCTGATAATTAAAGATGATGAACATTTTCTCATATGCTTGTTAGCCATTCATCTATCTTTTTTATAGAAGGTTCTTTTCATTTCTCTTGCCCAGTAATATAAGAGACTATTGGCTCTTTTTATGTTTATTAATTTGAGTTCTCTGTAGATCCTAGTTATCAGCTTTTGTGCAATTCATAACATGCCAATATCCTTTCCCATTGTGTAGGTTGTCTATTTACTTTGATTGTTGTCTCCTTAGCTGTATAGAAGCTATTCAATTTAATTAAGTCCCATTTGTTTTATTTTTGTTGTTGTTGCTGCCATTGCCATAGAAGTCTTCTTCATAAAGTCTTTCCCTAGGCTAATATCTTCAAGTGTTTTCCCCAGTTTCTTTGAGGATTTGTATTGTTTCATGCCTTAGATTTATATATTTTTATCCATATTGAATCAATTTTTGTGAGTGGAGTGTGTGTTTAGTTTTAGTCTCTTACACATGAATATCCAGCTCTCCCAGCAACATTTACTGAATAGGGATTCTTTCTCCCAGTGTATATTCTTATTTGGTTTATCAAAGATCAGATGGCTATAAAATGTTAGTTTCATTTCTTAGGGTTCATAATTTTCTTTATAGAGCTCCTTCACCTCTTTTGTTAGATATATTCCTAGGTATATCATTTTCTTTGAAACTACTATGAAGGAGATTGTGTCCTTAATTAGCTTCTCATCCTAGCTGTTATTAGTGTATACAAAGGCTATTGACTTGTGGACATTGATTTTATATCCTGAGATATTATGGTATTTTTTATCACTTCCAGGAGTCTTGTGGTGGAGTCCTTGGGGTTCTCAAAGTATAAGATAATATCGTCAGCAAAGAGGGAGAGTTTGACCTCCTCTGCCCCCATTTGGATGCCCTTTATTTCCTTCTCCTGCTTGATAGAACTTTGGCTAGAACTTCTATGTTGAATAGTAGCAGCAACAGAAGACAGCCTTGTCTGGTTTCAGTTGTAAGTGGAAAAGCTTTCAGTTTTACTCCATTCAGTAAAATATTAGCTGTGGGTTTTTGATAGATAGCTTCAGTTGGTTTAAGAAATGTGCAACCTATGGCTATATTTTCAGAGTTTTAATTAAAAAAGGATGTTGAATGTTATTGAATGCTTTTTCTGCATTTATTGAGAGGCTCATATGGTCTTTGATTTTGCTTCTGTTGATACAGAGAATTATGTTTATGGATTTGTGTATGTTAAACCAGCCTCATATCCCTGTAGTCTATTGGCTAGGATTTTCTTGAGAATTTTTGCATCTATATTCATTAGTGACATGGGCCTGAAGTTCTCCTTTTTAGTTGAGTCTTTTTCTGATTTTGGCATCAGTGTGGTGTTTGCTTTGTAGAACATGTTGGGGAACATTCCTTCCTCCTCAATTTTTTGGAATAATTTCTGCAGTATAGGTATAAACTCTTTGATAGAATTTTGATTTGAAGCTATCTGGACCAGGGCATTTTTTTGTTGGGAGATTTTTTATTTCTTTGATCTCAGTGCTTAAAATAGGTCTGTTCAGGATATCTATGTCTTCTTAGTGAAGGCTAGAGAGAGAGTGTGATTTCAAATATTGATCCATTTCCTTCACATTGTCAAATTTCTGGGCATAGAGTTTCTTGTAATATTCAGAGATAATCTCTTATTTCTCTGTGGCACCTCTTGTTATTTCCTTTTTATCATTTCTGTTTGAGGTTACTAGAGATTTTACTTTTCTGTGTCTAGTTAGTCTGGCCAAAAGTTTATCTGTTTTATGTATTTTTACATGCAACCAACTTTTTGTTTCATTAATTTTCTGAATGATTCTTTTGTTTTCAATTTCACTAATCTTTGATTTAATTTTGGACATTTCTTTTCTTCTGCTGAGTTTAGGATTAGATTGTACTTTTCCCAATTCCATCAGATGGCTTGTGAGTTGTTGATGAGCTTTCTTTCTGTTTTTTGGATGTAGGCATCTAAAGTGATACATTTTCCTCTCAGGACTGCTTTTGCTGTATCCCACAAGTTTAGGTAGCTTGTGTCTTTTTTGTTGTTATGCTCAAGGAAGTTAATGATTTCCTCATTTATCTCTTTCTCACTTAACTGTCATTCATCATAAGGTCTTTTAATTTCCATGTTCTTGTGTGGAGTTGAACATTTTTGTTAGAGTTGAGTTCCACCTTTAATGCCTTGTGATCTGAGAAGATACAAGATAAAACTTCAATTCTTTTGATTCTTTTGAGGTTTGTTTTGTGTCCTAGGATATGATCAATTTTGGAGAATGTTTCACGGGCCAATGAGAACTTATATTCTTTAGCTTTGGGATGGAGTGTTCTATATATGTCTATCAAGCACAGTTGTTCTGGGGTCACATTTAAGTCCTATGTATTTTTGTTTAGTTTCTGTTTAGAGGATCTGTCCAGCTCAGTAAGAGGAATATTAAAGTCTCTTGCTATTATCATGTTATGGGATATCATATTGCTCGGACAAATTAAGATCTGTTTCAGGAATCTGGGAGCATTTAAGTTGGGCGCATAAATATTTAGAATTGAAATGTTTTCTTGTTGTATTTTTCCCTTGACCAATATGAAGTGTCCACCTTTGTGTTTTTTTACTTTAGTTGCTTTAAATCCACTTGTATTTGAAAATAAGATTGCAACCCCTCTTTTCTTCTGAATTCTGTTTGTCTGAAAAATTGTCTTTCATCCCTTAATCCTGAGTTTTAATTTGTCCTTCAGGCTAGGTGTGTTTCCTATAGGCAGCAAATGGATGGCTTGTGTTTTTTTATCTGATCAACCAGCCTATGTCTCTTCAGTGGGGAATTCAAGCCATTAACATTTATTGAGAGAATTGATAAGTGTGGTGGCGTTCTATTCATCTTATTTTGTGAAAGTTCATTGCTTAGTTTTATCTTTTGCATGCATTATTGTGGAAGCTGGGTTTTCTCCTTTAGTTTCTGGTTGCATACTTTGCGGGTTGGTCCATTGTGATGGTCAGTGTATAGAATAGGTCTAAGTAGTTCCTGTAGAGCTTGTCTTATTGTAGCAAAGTTCCTCCAGGTTTGCATATCAGTAAAAGATTTGATTTCTCCATCAATTTTAAACTTTAGCTTAGCAGGATGTAGAATTCTGGGCTAGAAATGGTTTTGTTTAAGTAAATTAAAGGTAGATGACCATTGTCTTCTGGCTTGAAAAGTTTCATTTGAGAAATCTGCAGTCACCCACATGGATTTGCCCAAGTAAGTCTATTGGTGCTTACTCCCTGTGGCTTGCAGAGTTTTTTCTTTTGTCTTGATTTTGGACAGTTTCATCACAAGGTGTCTTGGAGAATCTCTATTTGAGTTGAGATGCCCTGGGGTTTGATATCCTTCCAAAAGGAGTGTGTCAGAATCTTTGGTGATATTTGGGAAATTTTCATTTATAATATTCTCTAGTATGGCTTCCATTCCTCTGGGGCATTCTTCTTCCCTTTCTGAGATACCTGTAACTCATATGTTTGAACACTTCATAAAGTCCCATGATTCTGTCAGTGTATGTTCTGCTTTGTCTATTTTTTTTCCTGACTCTTTAACTGTCTGAGTTAGCTCAAGAACTTTGTCCTCTCCCTCTGAGATTCTTTCTTCTGCATGGTCTAATCTGTTGTTGATACTTTCTTCTGCATCTTAAAGTTCCTTAATTGACTGCTTCAGTTCCTATAGCCTTGCTACATCCTTTCTTCATATCGTTCATCTCTTATTTGATCCTGTTTTTGGATTTCACTTTGGTTATTTTACACTCTCTCAGCAATTTCCTTCATTGTTTTTATGCAATTTTTTTTGAGACAGAGTCTTATTCTGTCACCCTAGATAGAGTGCCTTGTCATCATCATAGCTCACAGCAACCTCAAACTCTTTGAACTCAAGTGATCTTTATTCCTCAGCTTCCTGAGTAGCTGGGATTATAGGTGTACACCACAATGCTAGCTAATTTTTCTACTTCTAGTAGAGACAGGGTCTCATTCTTGCTCAGATGGTCTCAAACTCCTGAGCTCAAGCAATCCACCCATCTTGGCCTGCCAGAGTGCTAGGATTACAGGTATGACCCACCCTGCCCTGACAGCATGTGTAGTTTCAATTCAAATTTCGTGTTCTATCTTGGAGATTAGTCTGATGTGTCTACTATAAAAGAGTATGATAACACTTTTTGAAGTGGATTGGTGGGAATTTTATTTGCTAACAACTGCTTCTGTTGGGTGAAAACTGAAGAATTTTTTCATGATTCTAAGGCAATTCAGTTTTTCCTGCCACTGGATAGTTTAATGCTAAATGACATTTTGATATCTGATCATTGGCCTGAATATAGTCTAACTATAGGGGAAAAAATTCCTTTACTTTTATTCTCATTCTTTATTTTTTTATTTATTATAGAATATTTGGAGTTTTGCTTATCTTCATAGACGTGTCTCTCGTCATTACAGACCTAATTTTCACTAGTAAAATTTATATTCCTTTGGAATATCGTTCAGTTTCTCTAGCTATTGCTTTATTTTTTTTCATGGATCTTCTTCTTCGAGTATATGTAGAAGGGTAAGTTTGAATTCTTTTTAACACCTAAAGCTACCTTGTCCTATTATAAAAGGCATCTGAAAATAACTAGCAGGTCAATCCAATGAAATGTGTCCCTCTTTATCAAAATAATTTTTCTCAAAAGCATGGTCCACAGTAAGCAATAATTCAAATCACAGTTTTTCATAGATTTGGCGTTAATAGTATATGATTGTTGCAAATGGCACTCCCATCTCCAACAATGTATGTGTATTTTCAATGGTTCCTTCAATACATAAAGTTTAAGGGAATTTCAAAAACAGGCCAGGATGCTGATGTGTCTGCATGCACATTATGATGAGGAATATGCATGTGAAGTAATTAATTAATGAATTAATACGTTCAGTAAGAGTTGAGTCCTAGATAACTGTTGATAGCATAGTAAATACTGGATATGCATAACCCCACCTCTCAGTTAAAATGAAAACTTTTATTAAGGAGCAGGGATCTGAGGCATGCTCATTCCATCAGTGAGACTTGACAGTAAGGCAGCAGTTGATTTCCTCTGCTTGCTAACTTTCTAAGAAGGTAGGTGGAATAAGCCAAACCTTGGGAATGGACTGCTGTGGGAGTCAGAAACTATGTTCCCCTGCTTCACTTCATCTAGTGCACCTCAGAAGGCAGTATGTCTCCTTTCCTCCTGATTTTCTATCCTCATGCTATTGAGCTAAGGACTGTTGCCCGCTGTCAGGTAACTCAGAGCCAGAAAGGGGATGCCTTAGATTTGGAAGCAGTATTTCCTGGAGAACTAGTGCCTATGTCTAAAGGAGCCAGTGTTGGGAAGGTGTGGTGGATAAAACTCCACCTTTGCCCAGGGGAGGCCACATTGGCCTATCAGAATTCCAGTGTAAGTGCAAATCCAGACCATGAATTTGCTGTACAAAATAGTGGACCTTTCTCCCTCTCATAAGTTCCCTTGCACAATGCTCAGCCCCAGCTATTATAAGTCTATGATGTATTCAGCTTCCATTACCCACTGGTACTGCCCAACATCTCATCTCCATGAAGGCAAGGCTTGCCTCTTGCTCAGTGCTTTGGTTATATCAATTACTATACTTAAATGTTTAGGTGGATGCTTTTGTCATATACTGTACGTATGAAATGATGAACACAAATTTACTGTTTGAAAATTTTCCGTTGTTATATTATTTCTTCTCCTCTAGTCTAAAAAATTCATTTTAAATTATTCCTTGAAGTAGAATTCTTAATAAGGATGGGTCAAATTTGTGGTCTTAAAATATTTCTATTTCTTCTTGGAGGGGGATGAAATTATATTTTTTGTTTTGTGTTACAGGAGACGGCATTATTTTTCTGATTTACTTAATGTCTTAGATGCTTTCATTATTGTGGCAATTCTGCTGATTGACATCATTTACATTTTTTATGATGTCACATTTCTTAGGAATATTCCCAGGTATGAAACATGATTTCTCAAAACATGATTTCTCAAAGTATTTCTTTTCAATTTTCTATGGCCTTTATTCCATATAGTTTTCTTAATGTTAAATGTTCTGATTCTATACCAAATAGATTACTTAAAAATGAAATGTTTAGAACAATTGACAATATTTTAAACATGATTTCTCAAAGTATTTCTTTTGAATTTTCCATGGCTTTTATTCCATATAGTTTTCTTAATGTTAAATGTTCTGATTCTATACCAAATAGATTACTTAAAAATGAAATTTTTATAACAATTTCCACATACTTTGAAACTAAAAGACTGTGGTATCATAAGGAGCAGTGGAGGTTTTATATACTACCTGTGATTAGTTTAAGAGATGAAGTACACAAAGAAAGAACTGGGCACTTTACCTCTTGTACTAACTTTAACTTTTCTACATTTTGAAATTCCCACTAAATTTCCATTTCTGCTTCAATCACAAATTCCTTACATGTGAATTCTGTCTATCTGAGTTTTTCTTGTAGCCAAGAGAGCATTGATTTGAATACATACAGAATTTGAGTAATTCAGTCATGATTTTCTAAAACATACCAAACAAAAAACTAGGCAGTGATATGGGTAGCAGCATAGCAGTAGAGTTTTATAGTCTACTTGTAGTAAAACTGAAGAAAGTTAAGGCAATATTAGAAGTGTTAGGGATCAGGAAACTAAAAGGTATATGGGAGACTGGTGGCATGTGCTCACTCTTTCTTTCTCACGTGCACTCATCCTTTTTCATTATGGCAATGAGAAAAATGGAAGACAAAATATATACTGGTATATAAATGTTGAGTGCCTCACTAAGCTTGTCCACCCCCAACTAAACATGCTAGGTAACAGGCTTTTGGAGTTGTTTGAAAATAACCTGAGCCAATATGGTCTTCGGAGAAGCAACCTCAGCATAACTTGAAAGCTTGGTAAAAATTATGAAGAAAAATGCCTCATGCTCGACTCTAGACCTACTGAATCAGTGTCTCTGGGACTTAACAATCTAGTGTGTCGAGCTTTCCCAGATGAGTCCTATTTATGCATGCTCAAGTTAGAGAAGCACTAGTCCAGTCCATGAGTTCTCTGCTTTGGAAATTCTGATGATAGGACAGACACCAGCTAGCACACTTGGGAAGGATGTTAGTCTGCTGCCTGCCTGATGTGCATTAGTACCTGTAGTGACCCTGTTACTAAGGATTCTCACAAAGGTGAACAAGAACCCTCCATTTATTTTGATGGGGACAAATTTCAAATGCTGGTCTTATACCACAAAAGTGAAATTTATAAATTCTAAAATCCTGTTGTACTACTATTTCTCTAGACCAGAATTTCTCAATTTCAGCATTATTGACATGTTAGACCAAATAATTCTTTGTTATGGGGTTGTGGGGAAGAGAACTATTCATTGTAATTTGTTCAGCAGCATTCCTGGCCCCTGTCCACCAGATATAGGTAGCACCAGCCCCATTACACAGACAGCAGTCATGATAATCAGCAGTGCCTCCAGACATTGCCACATATCCCCTAGGTAGGTGGCAGAGGAAGGGAGGAACATTGCTCCTGGTTAACAACCACTGCTATAGGCCTAGTTCGCATTGATGATATCCTCTGTCTGAACAAAAAATGTATCTTTTACATTTGTTGTTAGATGGGCAGTTTTTTTCCGGACTCTACGACTTATCATTCTGATAAGAGTTTTTCATCTGGCTCCACAAAAAAGACATCTCGAAAAACTGACCAGAAGGATGGTAAGTAGGCAAAACATATTTATGATTCAGAAAATGTTTTATGTTTTGTAACATATTGTCAAGGGTTGCTATTTATGCTGTATAATGTTCTTTATTTCTATGTTAGCTTATGTTTTACAAATTAATGTTTTAAACTCTTAGGTTTCAGAAAACAAAAGGCGATACACAAGGGGTGGATTTGACCTGGACCTCACTTATGTTACTGGTTTGTGAAGCTTAACTGTTGACTTACTTATATTAACATCATGTTTTCTTGTAATTAGATTTTTTTTTTAATTTTTGCAGTTTTTGGTTGGGTCTAGGTCTGAACCTGCCACCTCCCATATATGGGGCCAGTGCCCTACTCTTTTGAGCCACAGGCGCCACCCATACTTAGATTTTTATTTTGTTTTTACCTTGTCTAAGCCATGTTCTTTCAAAGTATGCTTTATCCATGAAGACCTATCTTCTGTGGTAGTGTGACATATTTGTAGTTTAACTGTAGCAATGGAAAATCTCCATGTCATCTCAAATCAAGGCTACTTAGTCACAGCACAGGAAATTGAATAGATATTTAACTAATCATTTGCATTTAGTTTAGAATTTATTAAGTTCTAATAGTTACCATGCATTCTGAGCATCCCAGAGAGATCTCTTCTCTTCCTAGAATCCCAGAGAATGAGGTCACTAGTTTGTAGATCATAGGCTCCTGGAGTCAGGAGGGCTGGGAAACATCCTGGAAACACCCACTATAATTTTTACCCCAAAGTCTCAGATGTTGTTTGGTGTGTAAGGTAAGAAATAAATTCCAACCATGAGAAGAACTTCATACTGATGCACAATTAATTATATGGCATAGGGCTAGAATCAATTGAGTCTTGGGAACACCATGCCAGTTTTCTGGTCATTATATTAGATAATTTAATATGTTATCTTGATTAAATTGAACGTGTATTAGCTGGTTTTTTTTTTTTGTTAACTTCCATCATAGAGTTCTTTTCCATGAAAAAAGAGACTGATTATATGTAAATTTAGTGTTTCTATATTGTTGTACCTCTCATGACATTCATAACAATGGTAATTTTGACTTTCAGAGCGTATTATTGCCATGTCATTTCCATCTTCAGGAAGACAGTCTTTCTACAGGAATCCAATGACGGTAAGGGTATTTATCTAAGAAATACTCATTTTGCAGTGAATGTACACTATGTAGTTATAAGGTGATTTTTTTAGACAGAGTTTTGGTCTGTTGCCTAGACTTGAGTACAGTGACATCATCAAAGCTCACTGCTACCTCAAACTCCTGGTCTCAAGTGATCCTCTTAACTCAGCCCCACAAGTAGCTAGGACTACAGATATACACCACTATGCATGGCTAATTTTAGTTTTATTCTTTTATAGAGACTGGGTATCACTATTTTAGGGTAGTCTTGAACTCCTGGCCTTAAGCGATTTTCCCACCTCAGCCTCCAAAGTGCTGGGATTACAAGTGTGAGTCACTGTGCACCCAATGTTTTTTTAGCATTTTCTTTAAACTTCTGTGCTTCTTTATTTTTGCAATAACAATGGCAGTGCTAAGTAACTGTAGAAAGTTATTCATACTTTGGAACAAATTTTCCCAAAAAAGAAAATACTGTACAAATGGAGTCTTGCTAAGTTGTCCAGGCTGGTCTCAAACTCCTGGCCTCAAACAATCATTTCACCTTGGCTATGAGTTTAATATTAAATAATATTCTTTCAAAACTTATTCTTTTAATTAAAAAATAATAATGGATTGGTACCAGTTAGCTTTAGCTATGTTACAAACCACTCCCAAACCATTTATTTAGCTCATGATACTGTTATTAGTGAATCTGAGTTTGGTCTAATTAAATGGTTCTGATAATTAGAAGCAAGGTTGCCTATCTCAACTAAGATTACATATGCATTGTGGGCAGCCAGTAAGCCATGTGAGGACCAGCTAGTTTAAAATGGCTTGAGTTCCTTCAACTGGTAGAGCCATGCATGCTGCACATATCTCACCCCCAGGTCAAAGGACCAACCTTCCTGGCACCCACTGCTGCCTTTGACTCCATGATTTAACCAGTGAAGCTGCTACATATCAATAAACTTCACCAGACATGAGGACTGGCTTGCCTGGTTCTCACTATGTTAGTGATGTCACTCTATGACTGGTGGAGACAGCACACTTAGCACATATTCTGAAGAGCCTGAGAGCCAGCTCACATGGTGTCCTTAACCCCTAGCAAAGCCACACCTCTGCCTCCACGAAAACCCAGTCTAGGACACTGATGCACTTATAGAAACTGATAATGTTAGTTATAGCTGAGGAAATCACATGGACACTATACTACCACACCCACCCAGAACCTAAGTAAAAGCACCCTACTTAACCAACACTATAGGACAAAACTAAAGGAAAAAGTCTTTGCTCATGAAAGCTAATCCATAAAGTTGGAAGAGGCAACTGTTCCACCAGATGTGCAAAATCAATGTAAGGATATAAGAAACACGAAATGCAAGGAAACATTACACCTCTAAAGAAATACAATATTTCCCCAATACAGATCCCAGATTAAAAAAGAAAAACACTATAAATTGTCTAAGAATTAAAAAGAAATGACTTTAGGAAAACTCATTGAAAAATAAGAGAATACATACAGATACTATAACAAAATTAGGAAAGCAATTCATGATCTGAACTAGAAATTCAACAAAGATACAGATATCATTGCAAAAGAACCAAGCAAATTTTGGAGCTGAAGAATTTGAGGAATGAAATAAAAACACAACCAGGAGCTTCAAAAACAGACTAGACCAAGCAGAAGAAAGAATTTCTGAACTTGAAGATAAGACTTTCAGTAACCCAGTCAGACAAAAACAACAAAGAATGAAGAAAGCCAATGGAAATTATAGGACACTATTGGACAAAGAAATATTTGCATTATGGGAAATTTAGAAGGAGAAGAAATGAGAAAAGGCATAGAAAATCTCATTAATAAAATAATAACCAAACATATCGCAAGTCATGGGAGACATAATGACACCCAGTTCTGGAAGGAAAAGGTTTCCAAATAGATCCAACCTGAAATAGTCCTTTCTGAGGCATATAGTTGTCAAATTGTCAAAAGTCAAAGACACAGAATTCTAACAACAGCAAGAGAAAAATGTCAAGTCACTTATAAAGGATCCCTATTGGGTATTGGTATTGAGTAGATATCTCAGCAGAAACCTTTACAGGCCAGGAGAGAATGGAATAATACGTGCTGACAGGAAAGAACTATCAGCCAAACTCCCAGCCAAAAATACTATGTCCAGCAAAGCTACTTTCCAGAAATGAAGAAATAAAGCATTTTCCAGAGAAGGAAAAGCTGAGGGAATTCATCACCATTAGACTGCCTTATGAAAATGGTTAAGGGTATACTACATCTGGAAAGAAAAGAATGATTACCATCATGAAAACATGCAAATGTATAAAATGCACAGATCAAGCAGATGTACACATGAGAAAGAGAAAGGAATCAAACTTTATCACTACAGAAACCCACCAAATTGAAAAGATAAATAATAAAAATTGAAGAAAGAAACAAAGGATATACAAAATCACCAGAAAATAATTAACAGAATGACAAGGGTAAGTCTTTACCTGTCAATAATAATGTTGAATGTAAATAGGCAAAATTACCAATTAGAACATTTAGATTCCACTGAATGGACTTTTTTTTTTGAAGACCCAACTATATACTGGCTACAAGAAACTCACCTCACCTATAGAGACACACATAGATGGAAAGTGAATGGATGGAAAAAGATATTCCAAGCAAACAGAAACCAAAAGTAAGCAGAAGCAGCCATAGTTATGTAAGATAAAATAGACTTTAAGTCAAAACACATAAAAAGAGACAAAGAAGGTAATTATATTATGTTAAGGGATCAATTTAGCAAGAAAATATGATAATTGTAAATAATATATATGTATATATGCCCCAAACATTAGAGTAGCCAGATATATGAAGCAAATATTATCAGATGGAAAGTAGAAATACATTCTAATATGATAATAGTTGAGGTCTTTAATACCCCACTTTCAGCAATAGACAGATAATTTGGACAGAAAATCAGAAAAAGAAACATCAAATTTAATTGCACTATAGACCAAATTGGCCTAGCAGATATTTACAGTACATTTCATCCAATAGTACAGAATACATCTTCTCATCAGCATATGGAACATTCTCCAGGGTAGACCATGTGATAAGTCACAAAACAAGTGTCAGCAATTTTTTAAAAATCTGAATCATAGCAATTATTTTTTCTAACTACGATGAACAAAAACTACATTGTAGAAATAATAAAAAGAGGAACTTTTGGAACTTTACAAATATATTAAAATTAAGCAATATACTTTTGAATGAGCAATGGATCATGAAGAAATTAAGAAAGAAATGTAAAAATTTCTTAAATGAAAATGGAAACACAACATACCATGGAAAGCAGCAAAAGCTGTACTGTGAGGGAAGTTTATGCTACTATACACACAAAAAGAAGTAGAAGTATAAACAACCTAACAATGCACCTCACAGAATGAGACAAGCACAAACAAGCCAAATTAATAGAAGAAAAAATACTAACAATCAGAGCAAAACTAAGTGAAATTGAGACTAATAGAATACAAAAGACTGATAAAATGAAAAGTTGACTTTTGGAAAAAAAAAAAAAGAAACCAACATAGACAAACCATTAGTTAAGAGTAACAAAGAAAAAAATAGATCAGACCCAAATCAATAAATTCAGAAATGAAAACGGAGACATTAGAGCTGATAATCTAGAAATATAAAGGATCATTAAAGATTATCAAGAGCACACAGCAATTTGGACAACTTAGAGGAAATTCTTGGACACATATAACCTACTGAGATTGAACCAGGAAAAAAGAAAAATATCTGAACAGGACAATAATGAAGATTTAACAAGACCGAATCAGTAATGTTTCCCAAAGAATAGCCCAGTCTGGATGTATAACTGCTAAGTTCTGCCAAACTTTTAAAGAAGAACTAACACCAGTTCTTCTCAGAGTATTCCAGAAAAATCAAAGGGCAGGCAATTCTACAAGGTCATCTACAAGGTCAACATTACCCTGATTCCACCACCTGCCAAGGACAAAACAAAAAAGGAGACTACAGGTCAGTATCACAGATGAACATAGATGCTGGAATTCTCAGTAAAATGCTCACACTCCAAAATCCAGCAGCATATCAAAATGATTATGTACCATGATCAAATGGAGTTTATCCTAAGCATGCAAAAGTGGTACAATATATGCATATCAGTAAATGTGATACATCACATCATCAGAATGAAGGACAAACGCTATATGATCATCTCCATAGATGCAGAAGTGCCAGGTAAAATTCAACATATTTTCATGATAAAAGCTATCAAGAAATTAAGTATAGAAAGAACATACCTTGATACAATAAAGCCCATATATGACAAACCCACATGTAGCATCACACTGAATGGAGAAAGCTTTTCATCTAAGAACTGGCACAAGACAAGGATGGCCACTTTCATAGTACTAGAAGTGCCAGAGAGGTTAGGTAAGAGAAGTAAATACTGGATATCTAAGGTAGAAGTAAAATTGTGCCTATTTGCAGATGACATACTCTTCTATGCAGAAAAAAACAGGAGATGCCACACACACATCTTATAACTGATAAATACATTCAGTAAAGCTAGAGTACAAAACCAATATACAAAAATCAGTAGCATTTCTAAATAGCAAAAATGAACTAGCTGAAAAATTGAGAAATCAATCCTATTACAATAGCTACAAAAATAAAAGACCTAGGAATAAATTTAACCAAGGAAGTCAAAGATCTCTACAATGAAATGGAAGAAACAATCCTGCGATTCATGTGGAACCACAAATGACCCTGAATAATCAAAGTAATCCTGAGCAAAGAACAAAGCTGGAGTATGTCTAATTTGAGAGCTGTTATCATGAAGGGATGTTGCATTTTACTCAATCTATTTCTGCATCTATTGAGATGATCATGTGGTATTTGTCCAGCATTAAGTTGATGTGATGTATCACATTTACTGATTTCCATATGTTGAACACTGGTAAAAGAAATTGAAAATGTTATAAAATAGTGG